CAAATTGTACTTTTGTGAATTAAGATTAAATTTAAGATAATTTTTAAGATTAAAATTGATTTAAAAGTTCTTTTTATACGTGTTATTTCGGAAATGATCTTATGTAGATATAATGATATATATGGTGTTTGGGAGCTTTGTTATTTAATTTATTCTAGCACTTGAAATCAAATCGTAAAAGATATTTAGATCTATATAATTTCAATTTTTTAAACACTGTACTTGTATATGTTTTACAGAAATTAACTACTAACACTATAAAAATAAAAATTAAATTCATTTCTCACAGCCGGTAAAATTAAAATTGCTATGTAAAACTTGCGTGTTATAAAAGACTTAAATGATGTAGTGCATAAAATATATACACAGTGTACGTGCATGCAGTTTAAATGCAACATTGCGTGCATACGTAAATATTAACAAAATAAGAAATCAAAGGCCTGATTGATAACCCAATTTATTAATATTTATTATGTACTAACAGTAGTGTCATTGTTGGCATGTTATTCAATGTAGAATAAAGTGTCTCTTGTTTTAATTGCTTGAAATATGAAAGCTTAACATATCTATCTCGGCTATCTCTAAACTTCAATTTAATAAAAGTATTAACATCAATGTGATTTTTCTTACTTTGCTTATGTTGTAAAAGCGTGTTGTTAAAGTGTGCAGTTATGCTACATATAACAGTTATATTCGTTAAATCGATTGGCATATAGTTTTGTATCACAGTTTTAAAATAATTCCGTCTTATTTGTCTAACTCAAGAGAGGAAATCAGCATCGGACGATAGATAGTCCCGAATTAATCTTAATAATAAAAGTAATAACACATTCCTTGGTCTTCCACTCTCTTAAATCTTTCAAGATAAGATTTCAAAATCATTTGCCTTTAAAATATATTTGATAACCAAATTATGTTTTATTACATATATATGAGATTTATAATATGATTTTAATCTTATGGTTTTATAGTTTTTGAGTAAAAACTTCGTAGGTTAATAAAATTCTAATATGATTACTGAAACTTGCTCTCTTTATCAGATAAAACCTTATATAATATACTTAACTCGTCTATGAAATAGAAATCGTACGATAAAATATTATTTGTAATGACTAGGTTAATGATTAGATTGAAAGAATCAAAGAGGAAACAAGAAAAGCTATAAAACTAGAAAAAAATATGCAGAAATATATAATAAATTGAAAGTCAAATTTCTGTCCGCTTATTGCTGTTGTTACAACTTCAAAAATCTATGTTACAGAAGATTATGTATAATTGATCATTGATTGTGGTAAATGCTAGTTAACTCAATTTTATAGATATTGGTTAGACAGACTGTTATGATTTTAGATAACGTGAGATACCTAAACGTGACAAGAAGAGGTGTAAAAATGCAACATGCTTATGTCTAAAGCTGCGCCATCTACCGGACACGAAATGTACATATCTGTTGAAAGTTTAATGTTTATAGGCAATGTCAAGTGGTTTGCGCTTTGATAATATATTTACGAGTTAATAACATATCTATACAATAAATAAACTTGAAACTAAATCACAATATATATTGACATCACACTGTCAAACGGTGTTTATTACCTGCTCTATGTTATTTAATCATTTAAGGCCGAATGAGTGAGCGGGCGAGTGAATGATGTGAGCGAGAAGGTTGAAGCCTTGTGATATAATTAACCTCTACATGATAACAAATACATCGTTTGCAACGTCTTTTATCTACAAATACGCATTTAGCCGACTTATTCAAACGGGAATTTGGATGATTACAAACGCATAAGTCTCCTCATTTCATGACATCACCTTATATCGTCAGAGTTATTTGTTTCTATCCGGAGTATTATTGCTAAAATCAGAAAATTAAGGGGATAATTGTTTTCTCCATAATTTTACGTTTTAGGAAAAAATATGTACCTAAAGAACAAGCTTGAGCGCTGGGATGGGTTAAATGGGTTTCAAATTATTTTAATGATGTTAGATAAAAAAAAACAATCGTGCAAGAAGAGTTACATCTATGAAGTAAAAACTTTAATTGTCTTAATTATGCAATCATACTTAGTTTAACATATTATTCTATCAGTACTAACCGTAGTAGTTATTTGGCAATTTACTGAAAAAGGCCACAAAGAGCAGGCGACATGACATATCTCACTGGCCTATCGCATGAATTCAAAATATTTCTATACAATGTTGCTTACATTTGGTGCAATTTATATACATGATATAATATTTTGCAAAGTCACTGTTTTGAATTGATTACCAATTAAATACCATAATCTCTATGCACGTAGACCTTTGTTGAATTATCATTAAACAATCTTTGTATGCACGGTTTGTTTGTATTTACCTTAAGAAAGACCTAATGTCAATACTGAAAATTGATAAATGATATCCCACAAATATTTTTTTTCTTGGTATTTCATAAAGGAATGCTTGTGACGTGCAGTAATATTTGATAAAATTGCGTAATGTTTTTTTATTTTTAACAGGACCTGACACTCCTGCACTCTTCAAGGTGCATCAACTAAAAAAGCAAATTACATTGTATTATGTCAAAACAATTTCAGAAATTCCCTCCACAATTTAGTACAATTTTAAAGAACTTGTATTTATTTTAAAGTAGACCGTTCCTTTAACATTCCATCTTAAAGAAAAAAGAAAGTTAACTATTCAGTTGGAATGGTAAAGAAACAGTGTCAAATATCAAAGGGGTTTGACCATAGTTTGACCATAGTAAGGTGATGAATCTCTTTCGATGAGAAGCCGTTTTAAATGAGTTTAAACTTAATTTTCTATGTCAGTTTTTATGCAGTCTACAGCTTATTGGACCATGATGCCTCATAAATGCTTTTATTTCTATTTTTCATTTTTTTTTTTTTTTAAATTTTGATATACTTTAAAAGTATCCAAAAAAGTTATTTATTGGCCAATTACCAAAACCATCTTTGTCATCGGTCGCAAGTACAGTTATTTGAATGGAAGTCAAAATACTACTTTGTTTACATTTTGCTACATTCCTGACAAAATGTTTCACGGTTATTGCTATTTTCTTCAGGTAACAAGCATTTAATATTCTGTAAACCATATTTTTAACATAATAAAAATCATGTTTGATCTTTCTAAAGAAGTAAAAATTTATTTGTTTCTGAAGCGTAATGTGCATTTAAATAATACTGAAATTAATTTTAGATTATACTTTAGTAACCGAGATATTATTGATATGCGATAAACGTTTAGAAAAACAAAACACACTTTAAGTTGTTGTTTTTTTTATCAACTTTCAAATAAGAAAAACACATTAAATTATCTGAATACATATGAAACCATGTAACCGAGTTACTCCTAGGTTTTAAAGGTTCGTACATGGTGAAATTTCATAGATAAAAGTAGTATATCAGTATCAAAGTCCTTTCGTTTTGTTAAACTCTTCATTTTACATTTGGATATCTTAGCGGTATGTGATATTTTATCTATATAAAGTTTGCTTCAGTTTCATATAATAAATGTATCTTTTCAAAGGAAAGAAAGGTATTGACTTAATACTGCAAGCATTATTTGTTCTTAGGTTAAACACGAATGTTGAAAATATTATTGCAAACATTTGTGTAACTAGATATTTGAAGACATGGATATTTTTGTATGTTTTACAATTTACTAGAATTACTACAATGTAGTCTACAAAACTTCCTTAATCAGATTAATTTTGTTTTTGTTTTTATGTGTATTAAAAATACAAATTATTGACATAATGTTATCTGATATCAAAGGCAATGGGCTGGTATATGCATTATGTGATCATCGCATTGCCTTGTAGAACTTGCAAATCCCTTTTTTTCTTTTCTTTTTCTTTTGTTTCATTATTTTTTATTTTTATTTTTCTTGAAGGGGATGCGGTGTTTGGTTCGGTTTTTTCGCTTTTTTATCGAAGCGTGTGACTTAGATTTATTTTCATTATTTCTTTAAATAGCCATGCACATTATTAAAGATTATTTGGAAACAAAAACATTGATACCTTAGCATTCAAATTGGTTAGACCTAGTCAAAGAGCAGAACAAAGTATGGCTAACGGATCATCTTATTTTTTATTGATATCAAAAGATATTAAGAAAGTGTGTCAAAGTGGTTTAAATCTTTGACATTAATATCGCGTGCTTAATACGGAGTACTCTAAGCCAAAGACAAATTTGTCCAGTTATGAATAAATGTGCCTTCTGGTGTCATGCTCCGAGATTTCTGATAAGGGTACAAAAAGGCAAACTAGAACAGATATTGATTCTAAAAAATGACGACTATAGTACAATTTGTTTGAGTAATGATGCCCAGTTGTCTTTTCCCTTGATTTTTCCTTCTTTTTCATTGCTTTGACCTTTCTTTTATTAAATCATAAATAAAAAAATTGTATGTGTTCTTAAGTGTTTATATGCTATTAGTGTTAAAGCAGCACGCCTCCAGATTCATGTTTATTTTCATGAAAATTTTGTAAATGAATTTAATAGTAAGATATTTCGAGTTGAACAAATAAAGCAATTTAAATATTGCAATCGGCACTTTCGATCCAAGAAAGCTACCAAAAAAGTGGTCAACATATGCAAAAACAGCCCGTACTGCGTTAGTAACGCAGTAGAAATATGGTGATGAAATACTGCAAAATCAATCTTAAACGGCACATCACATGTAAAATACCGGTATAACTTGGATCTTGAATGCTTTTACCTTTCTTAAAATTATAATACATTTATCTCAGTTTTGATTTATTTTAATATGCTGGCTCATCTGCAGGCCTGCAGCTTTAACACATGTACACCGAAGTGAAAATGATGATACAGATCAAACAATTTATAATTAATTTGAATCATTTTGATTACTTGTGTTGAACCGATTGTATTCTCATGTTACATAGCTGACCATTTTGTGAACTGTACAAAATCACGAAATTTGAAAAACTAATTTTCCCTTACGTTACACTGAAAATATCCATCTACTTTCAGATTAAAGCGACGTTAAAATGGGAGACAACCCAGACACCCCTGATCCTGTAACTGGGTTGACAGGAAAAGAGGTTGCGGCTATACGAGAAAGCTGGGGTAAATTGACAGCCTCCTGGAAAACAAATGGACCGGAGTTTTTTGGCATGTATGTATAATGCTTCTCAAACTTCATCAATATAGTTTTTAGAAACCTTGACATAAATATAGTTTCTAGAAACCTTGACATAAATATTGTTTGAAGGAAACTTGACAATAAAAATAGTTTGAAGAAACCTATCATCTGCAGGTTTAGCAAGTATTTCATACAAAACTTTTACATTTAGGTACATAGCGTTGCATTAAGGGAATGTCATCCAGTTTTGGTAATCATGGATGCGTAAATAACTAAGCAAAACTCATGATACTTTACTTCGGATGTATGCATTATAATGTAGGAAAGTATTGGCCAATTTTGTTTGATTGGTAACATGATTATTCAATACTATTAACTATGTTGGTTTCTTCAAATAGTACACCGTTTGTTCTACATTTTGTAAGTAATGTTTTTGTATAGAGGCACATTTTCCTGAACGTTTATTTTATTATAATTCGTAAATAATTTTACAAATGGACTTATGCATGATCTGATAATTATTTGATTCAGATTGTTCGAGGATCCAAATATACGAAAGTTTTTCAAAGCATTCAATGGCATGAAAATGGAAGAAATCCGGACATCAGCCAAGCTTCGTGCACATGCAATCAACTTTAAACATGGCATTACCTCATTTGTTGATAATTTAGACGATCTAGATTGCTTAGTTGTCCTGGTTCATAAGCTGACTGCCAATCATTTTAGAAGAGAAATTCGGGTAGAGCAATTCAAGGTAAAATAATTTGTTACTTATTAAAAAAAACTCAGTGTGAAGAGATGACACAATTTCATTTATTTTCCTGGAACGAACCCGAACAAAGCGTGAAAAGTGTCTTGACAAGGAAACAACAGCTTGTCCCTAACGGACTTAGAACCCAAACGGCCACCAATCCTTAATTACTAGGCCGTTAAAGCTTAAAAAACGGACCCTTAAAAATTTGATTTGCTAGAAATTTTAGCTTTGTGAGAAGCTTTGAATGACTCTTTCATACACTCAAACTACTTACTAATGAATAAAATAGCATGGCAGCATGCAACACTGGGATATATCGAAATGAAATAAAATATGATTATAAATAACTAATGATGAAGTATCAAAAGTAAGGCGTGTTTTGTTGAGAAATACAAAAACAACATGTACTGGGATAAAAAACACTTATATTTTTCAAATTTTCAGGAGGCTTTTAGATTATTCCTTATCTTCGCACAAAGTAAAATGAAAATGGACGAGCTGACGGTAAATGCCTGGGTGAAAACAGTAAAAGTTCTTGAAGATGTTATTGGTAAACACATGGACGAGTTAGACTCGCAAACGAATGATAAAGCTACTTGAAATATGATAGGGAAGGATGCAATAATACGGACTAAGTGTAAAGCAAGCGTCAGGACATACCACTATGTTCGCAGTTTCAATGTGTTTGTCTTCTTCGTTATCATAAATTAACCTTTGATAACGTTTAAAATTTTTGTTACCTTGATTTATATTTTTGATATTGTATATCGTTTATGGAGAATATACAAGAAGGTGTTAATGCAGTTGAAATTTGTTGGAATATTCAAATTCTATGACGCAGTTGACAGAGATAGTTTGCACATATATTTGTATCACATATTTTTATATTAGTTATAAACCTGATTTTTAGGATTTAATACTGGCTACAATTCAATTTTATGACACTTTATTGACATTCGGTTTAATTTAAAATAATTGGTGTGTCTAACTTTGAACATGATACTGACTATGAGAAAAGCGGGTGATTTTGATTTTAATAAAAACGAAGATGCAGAAACTTGGTAGACAACTCTGAGAAGTCTTATCGGACCAGCCAGGCATGCAAGTTAGGGCTGACCTGACTTTAGTTTTTCATTTATATGTTATTACATTTTTCTGGTCTATCGGGATCACTGATTCCAAAACTTTCATAGTGTTGAGGATTGAATACCTCTTCAGCCAGTGCTTAGGTTTGTGAGAGGTTTGTGAGGTGTTGCACCACTTGAAAACAGACTCAAAACATTGTCTGCGATTTTCAACTTCTAGTATCTGTTTTTTGTTGTTTTTGCTGTTGAGGGATCACCCCACTTGTTCATATTTTTATACTTACCACATTGCTTAGTCCATATATCCGCTGACTGTGTTAAGTTTAATGCATAATTGTTTGAACCTCTACAGCATAATTCTTTTCTCAATATAACCCAAAAGATATTAAGTCTCGCAAGTTATTTTTTTCCGAGAAATGACATGAATATTAGTGTTTTATGGATAAACTTTGGTATATTTAGATTTTTGCAAATAATTTTATAATATAATAATAATTTTATGTCTATATATTGCGAAGACCGTCTTTGGCCTACTTACATTTAAAAAATTAATTTTTATTGAATTTAGATTATTTATATACATAAATATGTTCAAGTATAGCAGTAGAATTTAGATTGAACAAAGGTATTTGAAAATTCTAAGTAAATCACCATTTCTATGGTTTCTAAATCCAATGCTTTGGGGCATGGACGGTTGTTTGCATATGCCATTACCTCTTGTCCACAAACAATTTTTATCAAACCGAACTAATGTTTGCAAATTTTCAGTGTTTGGTGACCATTCTGGGTATTCATTTGCATATATTCATTTGTGTGCAGTTAGATAATGGTAGGTGTATTGAAAATACAATGTGTAATAACGGGGTATGTTCATTGTTCTCAGGTCCACATTTTGATTGGTTGATACAGTTGTATTTTTATTATTATCAAAATATTTTGTCTGACATCATTTTCAATGTATGCATTTTATGTACAACAATTAAGAAACGTTTCTATTCATTATTTATGCAAATTTTAAGCCATTATATGCATCAGAAACAAATAAATGTTTCCTTCTTTAGAAAGGGCAAACGTGAGATTTATTATGTTGTTTTAGATATGTTAGATGTTTATTACTTGATGAAATTTAAAGTAGCACTGACTGTGAAATTATGCGTTATGAAAACAAGGTATTATTTTGATTTCCATACAAAATACTAAATCACTATAACTGTAATTTTAAAAAAGCAAGAAAAGCAAAATATTATTCAGATTTATTGGACAATGAGTTAAGAGTAACATTTTCGAAGCTATATCAGGACATCAAATATAAAAGCTTTTGAGAAATAAAAATAAAAGCATTTCTGGGGCGTAATAGGTTATTAAAACAAGATACTTATAAAATCAATGTCAAAATTTGTGACTTGTCCTGTGTTTACCATTAGGTTGTTGTTATCAAATTATAAAATGTGTTCACGAACACTTGAAACTAATATGGTAGGCTGTGCTTATTCAGGAATATGTAACCTGTATTGATACAAAGATTGAAGTCGTAAGCATTTCTTGATACTTGTCCTATGGCATAGAGATGGTTACGCTTATTCGCAAAACAGGAAGTGACGCAAGGAACAGCTTTAAATTATGTAATAAAAATAGTATCACCTTGTTCTGATTTAGTATGTGTATATATATTAATATCTGAGTTATATTTGTAAAAAGATATCCTTGCATATGATTAAATTATGGTTAATGGTATACATGTATGAAAATAGTATTATTCTTTTAATATTGTTATATGTTTGAACATTTGAAATAAAATATATAATGTAAACTTTATGCAGTTTTGTTTTTATTATATTATAAAGAAAGAACATTAAGATGTGTTTGACGTTAATAAAGACATTCAATCTAGAACGTGGGTATTGTCCACCACTTTTTTAAGCAAGATATATATTTTGTAATAACGATTTGAACTAATTATCTCCTACGATTTTCGTCATTTGTTTCAGTAAAAATCAGTTAAATAATCTCGGATATTTAGATAATAGGGTAACTTCGATCCATTCTTAACAAAACTAAAGACAGAATGGGGAAAAATCATTTGTGCCTATGCTTTTAAAAAGTTAATATTATGTTGAAAACTCGACAAAAAGCTATTATAGCAGATAATACTTATACATAATTATCATATTGGCCCACGTTTACAAACTATATTCTGTATGATTTATTTGATACATTCGGCATGGTTTTATTACCAAGCTGTGTAGCGAAATGAATTTATTAACAAGATAAACTTTACAAAGAAAAGTACATCAAGTCCAATAAAAGTTCATTTGATAAGGCTTAGATAAGAAACTGTTTGTGAAGTTACAACTTATTTGTTCTGCAGTACAATAACTACTTTCATCTTATATGTGACATTTACTATAATTATATGAATTCAACAGAACATAGGATTTATTAACTAGCTTAAAAAGTTCACATCTGTTAAAATACTCGTATGAATGAAATAGTTTATGGGGTATATAAATTATTTGAAACAAGTAATTTGAATTTAGAAAAGAAGAAACGTTTGTAAAATAATGAACCTCGATTGAATACAATATTTGTTATATCGATCGAACAAAATGTTTGTGTTTTTAGTACAAATTAACCAATACAGTGTCTGAACATTTTTGTTCGATCGATCGAACAAAATGTGTATTTTAAATTAACAAGTTTTGGCAACGAAAAGAAATTTTGTTCGATCGATCGAACAAAATGTTTATATTAAATCAACAAGTTTTGGTAATGAAAAGAAATTTTGTTCGATCGATCGAACAAACTGGTAAGATGTTTGCCCTTTTTGTTTGATCGATCGAACAATATATATATATTTGTTTTCATTGGATTTAACAAGGTTTTGTAATGAAATGAAATTTGATTCGATCGACAGATATATAGATCGATGTATTGCTTTTTTGTTCGATCGATCGAACAAAATATTTGTTTCGATTAATCGGACAAAATGTTTGTTATATTTTAGTACAAATTTACCAAAACAGTGTCTGAACATTTTTTGTTCGATCAATCGAACAAAATGTTTATTTTTTTCATTTGAAAAACAAGTTTTGGTAATGAAAAGAAAGTTTGTTTGATCGATCGAACAAAATAAGATGTTTCCCTATTTTGTTCACTCGATCGGACAGAATGTTTGTTATATGTATTTATTCAATGTTTTATATCAAATTTTCAATTAAATTGAATGAAATAGACTCACCTTTTTAATATATTTTTCACATTTGTGTAAAATAACCTTAATATTTGCACAAAAAAAACCTATTGAGGGACTGATTGGACAATCCCTTTTTATTTTGGAACGAGATCTTGTGTGATACATTTGGCTATGTAGGCACAACAAAACAACAGCGATACAAACACATAACGACACATGAAAATAATACAACAAGATTTGAATGTTCATGGTGTTCAAAGACTTTCAAGCAAAAATCATACATAAGGAAACATAGCATCAAACAGCATGGATTTCCAGAGAAAGTTTTCAAAACAGTAGAAGTACCAGACGAAAAACCTAAAGCCAAAATCACCTTTCCAGTCATCAACAACCAAACTACCACAAAAACTCTTATGAAAACTCAAAAATTTCGAATTGTTATGGGCAAGACAGGGACACCATCTTTGAAATTCAACAAAAAGAGACCATCCAAATCAAATGTAGAACTGCCACCAACACACATCTTGATTCCTACACCAATCTCGCCGATACCACCTACTCCAAAGCATAGCAGACCAACAACACCAACTACAAATTTTGAGAAACCCTCCCTATCGTCTAGTACAGAAACAGTTTGCCAAGATGAGTATGGTATGTTTAGTGAAACAAACGAACTCATTATAAACATTGGACAGATTAATGGGGTATTTAACAAAACATAATTTAACTTGTGATCCTTTTTTATTCAAACAATATACATGATATACTTAATGATAAGCTCGTTGGAACATTGCCAAAACTATATCTATTATTAGCAACAATACTTCTATTTATAGTAACAAAACACAAAAATGTATCCCTAAATAACAGTACTTCAGTAGTTAGAATTTGATATTTTTTTAAGCCTGATGAAGAGTATTGTATTACTCGAAACTAGTAGCCAATAAAAACTTTTTAAAGTTGACCTGGTGTTGTACGTGTGTTCCTCACCTGCTTAACTCATTATTTTATATTTATTTATATATCAAAACAGAGAAAAATATCAAAACGTATTATCAAATTATTTAGCAAAAAACGAATGCAAGCACACTGCCGTAAACAATTCATTCAAAACATAACGATTCTTCTGTTAACATTTCGAGAATGTTCCCGCATTTTATCATACACTGCAACATCAATAGGCCATAGTTAACAATGTTTTATAATTGATTAGTATTGTTCATGTTACAGTTGTTATTTGCTCAAAGTTCTACTATGAAAAAGTGACTGATAAAACTTAAAATTACTGTTATTAGAGCAGTTGAAATATATCATATAGATTTTACAAGCTTGAGCTATGGGGTGGGGTGGGTTAAATTGGTTTCAAATAATTTACATGATGTTAGATATAAACAATCGTGCAAGAAGAGTTACATCTATGAAGTAAAAAAATAAAAGCCTTAATTATACATATACTTGGTCAAACATATTGTTCCATCAGTACTGATAGTAGTAGTAATTTGGCAGTATACTCAATAAGGCCAGAGGGATCAATAAGTAGGCGGCATATCCTACCTCTCTGACTGGGCATATACCACTGGGCTATCGCACATATCTCACTAAGCATATCTCACCGGGCTATCACACATATATCACTAAGCATATCTTACTGAGCATATTTCATCGGGCTTTCGCACACATCTCACTGGGATATCACGCATATCTCACTGAACATATCTTACTAGGCTATCGCACATATCTCACTGAGCATATCTTACAGGGCTATCGCACTTATCTCACTGGGCATATCTTAATGGGCTATCGCTCTTATCTCACTGGGCATATCTTACTGGGCTATAACGCATATCTCACTGAACATATCTTACTAGGCTATCGCACATATCTCACTGAGCATATCTTACAGGGCTATTGCACTTATCTCACTGGGCATATCTCACTGGGCTATCGCACTTATCTCACTGGACATATCTTACTGGGCTATCACACATTATCTCACTGAGCATATCTCACTGGGCTATCGCACTTATCACACTGGGCATATCTTACTGGGCTATCGCACTTATCTCACTGGGCATATCTTACTGGGCTATCGCACTTATCTCACTGGGCATATCTTACTGGGCTATTCGCACTTATCTAACTAGGCATATCTCACTGGGCTATCGCACTTATCTCACTGGGCATATCTTACTAGGCTATCGCACTTATCTCACTGGGCATATCTTACTGGGCTATCACACATATCTCACTGAGCATATCTCACTAGGCTATCGTACATATCTCATTGAGCATATCTCACTGGCTATCGCACTTATCTCACTAAGCATATCTTACTGGCTATCACCATATCTCACTGAGCATATCTCACTGGGCTATCGCACTTATCTCACTGGGCATATCTTACTGGGCTATCGCACTTATCTCACTGGGCATATCTTACTGGGCTATCGCACTTATCTCACTGGTCATATCTTACTAGGCTATCGCACTTATCTCACTGGGCATATCTCACTGGGCTATCGCACTTATCTTACTTGGCATATCTTACTGGGCTATCGCACTTATCTCACTTGGCATATCTCACTGGGCTATCGCACTTATCTTACTGGGCATATCTTACTGGGCTATCGCACTTATCTCACTGAGCATATCTCACTAGGCTATCGTACATATCTCACATAGCATATCTCATTGTGCTATCTCACATAAATGACAGTTGACATATCTCACTGGATTATCGCACGAATTCAATCAAAATATTTCTGCACGACGCTGCTATCACTTTGTGCAGTTTATACGCATGATCTATCATTTTGCAAAGTCACTGTTTTAAAATGATTACCAATTAAATACCGTAATCTCTATGCACGTAGACCTTAAAGAATTATCATGAAACGATCTTTGCATGCAAAGTATGTTTGAATTTACCTTACGAAAAACCTAATGTCAACACCGAGAATTGATAAATGATATCCCACAAATATTTCTATCTTGATATTTCATAAAAAAAAAGCTAGTGACGAGCAGAAATTTTTGATAAAATTGCGTAATGTTTTTATTTTTAACAGGACGTGGCACTTTTCAACGTGCATCAAATAAAAAACAAATTACCTTGTATTATGTAATTATCTAAATACATATGAAACCATGTAACCGAGTTACTCATAGGTTTTAAAGGTTCGTGCATGGTGAAATTTCATAGATAAGTGCAGTATATCAGTATCAAAGTCCTTTCGTTTTGTTGAAATATTTATTATACATTTGGATATCTTAGCGGTATGTGCTATTTTATCTATATAAAGTTTATTTCAGTTTCATATCATAAATCTTTTCAAAGAAACGAAATGTTTTGACGTTATACTGCAAAGCATTATTTATTCTTAGGTTAAACACGAAAGTTATTATTCTAAAAATTTAACTTCTAAATGTTAATAGATATTTGAAGATAGGGATATTTTTTGTATGTTTTACAATTTACTAGAATTACTACAATGTAGCCTACCTAACTTCCTTACTCATTTTGTTTTTGTTCTTATGTGTATTAAAAAAACAAATTATTGGGTTGATATCTGCATTATGTGATCATTGCACTGACTTGTAGAACTTGCAGAACCTTTTTTTTTCTTTTCTTTTTCTTTTTTTTTTTTTCCTTTTTTTTTTAAAGGGGGGTGTTTGGTTCGGGTTTTTTTTTTCGCTTTTTTATCGAAGCGAGTGACTTTAATTTATTTTAATTACTTCTTTAAATAACCATGCACTTCATTAAAGATTATTCGGGAAAAAAATCATTTATACTTTAGCATTTAAATTGGTTAGACCAAGTCAAAGAGCAGAACAAAATATGTCCATGGGATTATCGTATTTCCTTTATGGTCGGATAGAAAAATTAAGAAAGTGCGTGAAAGTGTTTTAAATCTTTGACATTAATATCACGTGCTTAACGCGGAGCACTCTAATCCAAAGATAAATGTGTCATGCTCCAAGATTTATGATAAGGGTACAAAAAGGAACTCAAAAATGACGACAATAGTAAAATTTCCTTGAGTAACTGATACCCAGTTGTCTTTTCTCTAGATTTCTTCTTCTTTAACATTACTTTGACCTTTCTTTTATTAACTTATAAATACAAAATATGTGTTTACACATATACATCGAAGTGAAAATGATGATAAAGATAAAATAATCATATTTAATATAATCATCTAGATTACATGTGTTGTACCGATTACACTCTCATGTTACATAGCTGACCATTTTGTGAAATATCTAAATATAAGAAACTTGAGAAACAAAATCATACTCATTTTCCCTTATGTTACACTGAAAATATCAATCTACTTTCAGATTAAAACGAACATAATATGGGAGACAACCCAGACACCCCTGATCCTGGAACTGGGTTGACAGGAAAAGAGGTTGCAGCTATTCGAGAAAGCTGGGGTAAATTGACAGCCTCCTGGAAAACATATGGACCAGAGTTTTATGGCATGTATGTATATATGTATAAAGCTTCTTCATATTAGTTGCTCAACCTTGTTTGACATATAAACATAGTTTGTAGAAACATTAACATAGAAATAGATAACACAAACCCTTACATATGCAGGTTTAGCAAGTATGCAAACTTTTACATACTTTTAGGTATATAGCGTTGCATTGAGGAAATCTTATCCATTTTTTGTATTCATAGATGCGTAAATAACTAAGCAAAACTCATGATACTTTACTTTGGATGTTTGCATTATAATGTAGGAAAGTATTGGCCAATTTTGGTTGATTGGTAACATGATGCATCAATTTTTAAACATGCTAGGTTCTTCAAATAGTACGCCGTTTGTTAAAGATTTTCTAAGTAATGTTGTTTTTTTGTATACAGTCGCCCTCTGGTGAACATTTATTTTCCGTATAACTTGTAATTCATTTACAAATGGACTTATGCATGATCTGACATAATTACTTTTTATGTATTATGATACAGATTGATCGAGGATCCAGATGTACGAAAGTTTTTCAAATCATTTAATGGCATGAAAATGGAAGAAATCCGGACATCAGCCAAGCTTCGTGCACATGCAATCAACTTTAAACATGGCATTACCTCATTTGTTGATAATTTAGACGATCTAGATTGCCTAGTTGTCCTGGTTCATAAGCTAACTGCCAATCATTTTAGAAGAGAGATTCGGATAGAGCATTTCAAGGTAAAACCATTTGATATTATCAAGGAATTCCTTGTGTAGTGACATTTAAGAAAAAGTAATACACCTTTTTACAGGACAAATCTAACAAGTAGGTTAACATCAATGTTACAAGTAACGAAAATGTTAATATTTGTCGATGTGAAATGTAAGTGTTATGCTATCATTTGATTTTAATTTTACTTTTCGTTATGCTTTTGCATTAAAATAAAAAAAAACATTTAGAATATAATTTAAAAAGATATTCTGTTTTTTAATATGTTAGGCACGCTACAATTATTTTAATTTTTCATTAATATGACAAAGCTTTAGTTAATTCAGATTTTTTTAGTTTGATTCGAAGAGGAACTAAATGCTTATAGACACAATTTCATTTTTTTCCTTGAACTAACCCGAGCTTAGCGTGAAAAATGTTATTTATGGTGCTTTGACCCAACGACAATCCTTTGGTTACTTGACCGAATCTTTGAATAACGGACAAGACACTTACGGGCAGACCTAAAGTTTTGATTTTCTAAACATTTTAGATTTGTGAGAAGTTTTGAATGACATTTTCATACTCTCAAACTACTTACTAACGAATAAAGTAGCATAAAAGTATATAACACTGGGATTTTTCGAAATGAAATAAAATATGATTATAAATAAGTAATGATGAATTATCAAAAGCAAGGCGTGTTTTGTTGAGGACTATAAAACCAACAAGTAAAGGGACAAAAATTTAAACTTTCATTTTTTCAAATTTTCAGGAGGCTTTTAGATTATTCCTTAACTTCGCACAAAGTAAAATGGAAATGGATGAGCTGACGGTAAATGCCTGGGTGAAGACAGTAAAAGTTCTTGAAGATGTTATTGGTAAACACATGGACGAGTTAGACTCGCAAACGAATGATAAAGCTACTTGAAAAATGATAGGGGAGGATGCAGTAGTATAGAAAGCGCCAGCACATAACACTGTTGGAATATTTAGACAAAAGAGATGGTTTGCACATATATTTGTATAACATGTTTTTTATATTAGTTATAAATCTAATTGGTAGATTAATTGTTGGGTACAACTCTATTTTAATGACATTATATTAACATTCTGTTTGATTTTAAATAATTGATTTGTCTTACTTTGACCTTGGAACTGCCTACTAGAAAAGTGGGTGATTTTGATTTTAATAAAATAAGATGCTGAAACTTGGTTGACAACCCTGAGTAGTCTTATTGGACAGGTCAGACAAGCAAGTAAGGGCTGGCCTGACTTTAGTTTTTCATTATATTTTTCATTACATTTGTTCTTGTCTGTCGGGATCATTGATTCCAATACTTTCAGAGGATTGAATACCTCTCAAATCGGTGCTAGGGTCTGTGAGATGTTTGTGAGAGGTGTTGCACCACTTGAGAACAGATTCAAACCAAGTGTGCAATTTTCAACAACCAGGTTCTGTTTTTTTTTTGTTTTGCTGTTGAGGGATCCTCCCATTTGTTCATATTTTTATACTTACCACATTGCTAAGTTCATATATCCGCTACCATTTTAACAGTCAGTTTTACTTTAATGATGATTAAAACCAAAGATATATGAAATCCTATATTGTGTATGTTTTGATAACCATTCATTGTTGTTAGAACAATTTTGAAAATATGAGTGTGTTAAGTTTAATGCATAATTGTTTGAAACTCTACAGCATAATTCTTTTTAAAATACCCAAAAGTTATAAATATACTCGCAAGTTATTTTTATCCAAGAAATGGTACGAATATTAATGTTTTATGACTAAACTTTGGTATATTTAGTTTAGTTGCAAATGAAAGGTTTTTCACTTCTAAATCGTTTTCCTTTCATTTTATGTCTATATATCGCAAAGGCCGCCTTTGGCCTAGTTACATTTAAAAGTAATTTTTATTGAATTTAGATTATTTATATACATAAATACATTCAAGTATAGCAGTAGAATTTAGATTGAACAAATGTATTGAAAATTCTAAATTAATCACCATTTTATGTGTTGCTAAATCCAGTGCTTGGGGTGTTAGCGGTTGCTTGCATATGCCATTTACTCTCGTCCACAAACAAGCTTAATCAAACCAAGCCAGCAACGTTTTCCATTTTCTGTTTTGGGCTGCCTTTCTGGGTTTTCGTCTACATATATTGCTTTGTGTGCTATTAGATAATGGTAGGTGAAAGTATGTATTGAAAATACAATGTATAATAATGGGGTATGTTCATAGTTCTCAGGTCCGTCATTTTGATTGGTTGCTACAGTTGTATTTTTCTTATTATTAACATTTTTGCCTTACATCATTTTCAATGTATATATTTTTGTACGATAACTTGGTATCATTTTAATTCATTCTTTATGCAAATTTAAAGCCAGTGTATGTCTCAGAAACAAATAAATGTTTCCTTTTAAGGAAGGGCAAACATCTGCTTAATAATGTTTGAATAATGGTTTTTAAGTGTGTAAGAAGCTTATTACATGAAAGAAAGTAGTGCTGAATGAAATTATTCGTAAGAACAATGTAAACAAAGTAGTATTTTGACTCCCATACAAAATACTAAATCAATATAAAGGTACTAGTTTTCAGAAAGCAACAGAAGCAAAATATGATTCAGATTTATTGGACGAAACTATATCAGGACATATGATATATAAAGCTTTTCAGAAATAAAAATATAAGCATTTCTGAGGCATAATGGGTCTAAAAAAGATTTTTAAAAAAAGGAATGTTAACACATGTGAATTGTCCTGTGTTTACGATGTTGTTATCGAATGTGTTCACGAACACTTGTTACAAATTAAGAAGGGTGTGCTTATTTAATAATATGTTATTTGTATTGGTACAAAGATTAGAAACGTAAGCATTTTTGGTACATGTCCTATGGCATAGAGATCGTAACGCTTATTCGAAAAACAGGAAGTGACGTATAGTGCAGTTTTAAATTACGCAATAAAAATAGTATCACCTTGTTCTGATTAAGTATATATAATATTATATAATAATTTCTGTGTTATATTTGTAAAAAATATGTTTGCATATAATCAAATTATGGTTAATGGTATACATGTATGAAAATAGTATTATTCTTTTAATATTGTTATATGTTTGAACATTTGAAATAAAATATATTATGTAAACTTTATGCAGTTTTATTTTTTATTATATCATAAAGAAAGAACGTTAAGTTGTATTTGATGTTTATAAAGACATTCAATCTAAACGATAGATATTGTCCAGTACATTTTAAACAAGATATATATTTTGTAAATTAGGATTTGAACTATTTATCTCCTCCGAATTTCGTTATTTTTTCACTTAAAACAGTTAAATAGTCTCGAACCTTTAGACAATAGTGTAAGTTCGAGCCAATCTTAACAAAACCAGAAATAAAATATGAAGAGTCACTTGTAGGAATTGGTTTTACAGAGTTAATATAATGTTGAAAACTCAACAAAAATTTATAATAACAGATAATCAACACACCATATGGACACACGTTTACACTATATTCTGTATGTTTTATTTGATACATTCGGCATGGTTTTATTACCAAACTGCTTTAACAACATGTTGTATTTACTAACAAGATTAACAATACAAAGAAAAGTACATCAAGTCCAATAAACGTTCACTTGATCTAAAAATGTTGCTAAGGCGTAGGTAAGAAACATAACAAAATGTTTGTGAAAATACAAGTCATTTGTTCTACAGAACAATAACGTATATGTCAAATTGGTACAATAATATGAATTCAAAACAACATGGGATTTATTCATGAGCTTTGAAAATTCACACCTGTTAATTTATCAATGAACTAGTTTATGGAGTATACAAATTATTGTTAAAAGTTGAATTTAAGTGAGAAGAAACGTTTGAGAAGCTAAAACTTATTTGTTCTGCATAACAATAACTACTTTCATCTTACATGTGACTTTCATTATAATTATATGAATTCAACATAACATGGGATTTATAACGCGGACACCTGTTGATATGTGAGTGAAATAGTTTATCTAGTATACAAGTTACAAGTTATTTGAATTTAAGAGAGAAGAAAAAACGTTTGATAATTTATGAACAAATAAGTGATCCATTTTAAGTCTCGTTTAATAGTAATAGTAAATGAGAGTTCACTTTTTTATCTATATTATCACTCGCAGCAATTTTGAAAGAAGCGAAGTATATCATAAATATGATATTACATATCTAGACGTACACATTTTCGTACTTAAAAGTTTGTACTTAAAGTAACTATTTACTATCAAAGAAAATATAGGGTTGTTCAATCATAATACAAAATATTCAGGTCACTTCCAATTCATATATGTTAAAATAACAATTTAAAAGAGATTATGTGTTACTTTATTGTATGCCATAAAATGAATAGCTATTTAAAGTTTATTGCAGATCTAAACGCTTTAAAATGACAGATCCGCCTAACGAGATTTTGTCAATAAAACAGCACTATTATTTCTTTTTTTAACAGTTTAAATAAATTTACATAAATTACAACGTTTTCTCTATGACCCCAATGCCATTTAATTACCAATATCTATTTGAATTTTTAGCATAAGAGCGACAGAATTTAAATTATTTCGAATACATTCTGAATTACAATTAATTTTACGTTATTTCGTTTATTTTACGACAATCGTAAAGTTAAATGTATAATAAATGCTGTAACATTGTAACATTAACCAAAAAGTGTTGTAGTTTTCATATTAAATCCCGCTTTCAGTTAGATTTAAATCAATTAACTTTATTGTACAAAAATTAAAACACATGATTTCGTTTGTTGTGCAAACACTTCCTTTCAGCTGAAACTTATATTCCAATGGTAGGATACTACGTCATCACGCATCTGCTGAATGGTCCCAATCGAAAAAAAATTGTTTGTAGAAAATTTGTCGACGCGGAAGTTAGATACGATTTTATTATAAGCAATTCTTAAAGTATCAAAATAAAATGTTGCGCGCCAAAGAATGGCTATATCACTTGAGATAATGACCAAAAAAATGTTGTTATATTTTCTGGATTAGGCCTTACAAAACTCAATAAGTTGTTTTCTCCAAATGCTCCTACGTTTCCTACAACCTATGAGAAATCATCTTTGAAACCTTCTTGAACATAAGTATAATGAAATAATCAATGTTTATTTACCTTGAAGTAACATATACTACTAATTCTTATTCTGTCAGGCAAAAGCATATTTCGCAAACCATTGCCGTATAATGAACAGAGCAAGGTGACTTTTAGGTGTCTTCATTTCATTATAATTTTAAATTGGTCGCCTGACAAGGCAAAATTGATAGTGTTGCAGCATAGCCTAGGTTTGATTGAGTCTGTCAATGGTTGATCGTGGAATTACGCTCCCTAGCACCGACTATAGCAGAATTCAATATCTAAACATGAATGAGGTCTGCAGTTGAGAATTCATAAAAATCTATAATTGTTTTCATAAATTTCATAAACAAGATATTTGTCTGCGTCTCTTAAAACCGCTATCATTTTTGTCAACAAATGAGCGTAATAATATTAAAATATTAAAATACATCGTTTTCATACATGCTATATATTTTGTATTATGTTTTTAAAGTATCTAATAAATACAATGTTATTATAAACATGCATACAGCAATAACAATTTCATGACTTTACATAAACTAGATACATAAATTTACAACAATGACATAGCTGTTCTAAATTTATTTGTAATTGCAATAACAAATTTCACGCACACGTTTTACTTTAAAAAAATTATATGCACCAACAATTTAACATAAACATTTTATTTTTATATGTAAATTACCTAAAATTTCACTTTTTCATATCATTATGATACTTACTATAGTATTGCTTAAGCCGGTGATAAAGGGCATGAATGGAAGCTTGTTAGTTGTATGTACTACCATCCATGAACAGGATCAATTAAACGAATG